CATGCTGCTAACGCGCCACGTCGCAGGCGGACCAGGTACATATAGAATACTAACAGATAGTCAAAGAACTTGTTACATATATACTGCAGAACTTAAGTAAAGAGAATATGACAACTATAAATATTCTATTAATACACACAGAACTTCTTACATATATACTGCAGAACTAAGGTCACGAGAATATGATAATTATTAAATATTCATAATAGTATATGCTTGGTGGGTGGATTTAAATGTAACAGATTTGTTTCCTGAGTAAACAGAATTAATTTAAACATTATAATAATTGCAAAGTTATATTACACATATTATATTGTTTGTCCGTTCTTGTTAATTTATATAATATTTCAAGATAATATTTAAAATAGGTGTTAAATATGGCTTAAGAATCTGTAATTATATAGTTTTTTTTTTAATATATTTTCAATAAATAATTCATATTGTTTTGTATACAGATGCAAGAAATGCGAAGCCTGCCAGCGTACGGATTGCGGTGATTGCGTGTTTTGTCATGACATGGTTAAATTCGGTGGTTTGGGGCGTGCTAAACAGACTTGCATCATGAGACAGTGTCTACAGGTACATGTGCTACAATACTAGCAATGAAATATGTATAAAAACAAGGTTGAGGTTTTATATTTTAAATATAATATAAATGTTTCATTTTCCAGCCAATGTTGCCGGTGACAGCGTCCTGTGCTGTGTGTCATCTGGACGGATGGATGCAGACACCTGTTGCACCGCAGGCTAAAGGCAATTCAGGTATTACATAATTATGTGAAATAATCAACCATTATTAAAGTCAGAGATGTATTTATATATAAAAGAAAGTCGTGTTAATTACACTATAGCTCAAGAACGACTATAGGGAGTTATCTGGAAATTGGTGGGGTGGTAGGTTGGAATCAAGAGACGGACATAGGATACTTTTGAATTAGATGGATCAAAATAAAATTGCTAATAAAATCCAACATCTGTTTATTTACTGCGCCTGAGTCGAAACAGTTCGCCTGGTCAGCTACACAGCTGTAATTAAGAAATTAACGCGGGCAAAAGCTAGTATTTAATATATGTAGTTTAATATAATCTGCGAATGTGTCATCAGGTCGTAACGGTCCATCAGTACTGCGGGAATGCTCGGTCTGCTACAGTATAGTTCATCCAGCGTGTGTCCCACCCGGAGGTCAACTCAACGAAGACCTGCCTAACTCATGGGAGTGCCCCACATGCACCACAATGGGTCTCAACCACGACTATAAGGTGATATATCAATTTTGTATGACACTGTTAACTAACAATAGCTGTTAGATAGAAATATTTGTTGCATCTTATATACCAACTTTGTATAACACTATTAACTCTAACAATACCTGTTAGATAAAAATATTTGTTGCTTCTTAAGTGAATCGCGTAGTGTTCTTGTTTCATGTAATCAATAATATACAGACAGAAAATCCATTTAGCAAAAACCATATGAAATATGCTACCAATTCTGTACCTTCTGTATCTTTGTCTATTAGTGGTGTAGAACGAATTGAACTTTATGTTTACTACTAGTTAGTTTACTAAATTAAACTAATTGAGTTTTCTATGAACTTAATGGTATCTCGTAATATTAATCAAATTTAACTCAAACAAAGACAACAGAATTATCTACCACACAATTATTTCATAGACCATTGATATAAACTAAATTAATATACATTTTAATATTATACATAACAAATATTTCGTAGCCACGTCACTTCCGAGCCCGTCAAAAATCTTCAGACTTGCGTCGCATGAGCGTTGGGTCCGATGCCAGTCAACTGAGTCAGCAACATAACACCACAACGGCACAGGTTCAGTAAATTTAATAGTATTAGAGTTATTTTATTTATAAAATACAGAAAAAAAGATTTATAAATATGTTTTTCAACGAGAGTTCAAGGTAAACAAATTCAAGCCAAAAAATACTTATTGATTTCTATGAAATATAACAGAAGATCCACTTATATAGATTTGAAAACCTTTAAATTAAATAGTAGCAAATGAATTACAGTTGTATACAAAATCATTACTTGAAATATAATTGACTATTCATAAATTGAATTCATAATTGAAGTAGAGAAATAATAATCAAAAGTAATCATTAAAGGAAGTAATATAAAAGTCACTATTGGTACTATTACCTTTCTCTACTAAAAGAGATTTTACTGTACTAAATATTGTATATTTTTTAGACCAAATTACCAGTCCCACCTCCACCGGTTACTGTGAAATCTGAGGCGGGTTCGGACAACGAAAGCAAACCTGAGAGCACTAATGTTAAAACAGAAGAAGGTATATTACTTATGATTATGATAATAAACATTTTGCTCTATAAAAAAAACAACAATTAATAAAAATATTCTTATATATATAGAAATAAAACGCGAAGAAGATACATCAGAAGCACCCGAGGCGGAGGGAGTTGAGTGGGAACCGACAGCGAAGAAACGACGAGCTAGCGACGAAGACGAAGCCCCTAAGAAACAAGCACTCCGAGCACATCTGGCTCTACAGCTGACACACCATTCAGCTAAAGTAATGTTATCTTTATATATAATAATGGCATGGTATATAATACTTTGTAATGAATTTACAAAACATTTAAATATATAACTCTTTATCGCAAACAGAACAGTCAATAGTTTCGTATATAATGAATTTACAAATTTGATTTTTTACATTTAATGCATGTTTGCAGTATAAAACTATTAAATCTAATTTAAATACTAGACTTATTAAAAAAAATGTATTATTAAAAATTATGGCGATAGGCAGGAGGCCCTAATTTTTAATTCTTGAGATAATTATATTTTAACAACCGTCTATTTGAAGTTTAAAGATGCTCATTAGTCAATTTACCATAAGTTTGCAATGCCAACCTAAATACGGATCGTTTTAAGTTCTTTGTCTATTTACCTACAATATTAATAACTATATTATATAATATTTATACCAATACAAATTAACGGTTATTCAATATTTGGACAAAATGCTATAATAATAAATGTATTGTTTTATTTAGGCTTTAAAGAAACCAATATATCCTGTACGTCCGGCTCCTTTGAACGTAGCCAATGTGAGCGGTGCTTGGTTGGACCGAGGGGCGATGCTGCGTATCTTCGCTAAGCTTACGCCACACGAACTCGCTACATGCGCCCTGGTCTGCAAGGCTTGGGCAGAGTATTCAGTATGTTATTATAACAAAAAATATATTCAACTTAAATTATGATATATATTTAAAAGACAAGGTATTATCAATTAAGGAACTGTTATCTATTTCTGAAAAAATATATATGTATATGTATTTTCATGCAACTATTAGATTTTATAATACCTGTTTTGGTTCCAAAAACGATTCAAAACTTGGTGTCACAAACTTTGTTAAGAAGTAACAAGAAAGTAACGGTTAATATAAAATCAATAACTATCTTGGTTTAAATGAGGAATATGGGTATATATCTTCTTGAAATCTTTATAGATTTTAGCTATTTGCCCGCACTTGATACGGTTTGCGTGCGAGATTCTAATTAAGATTTTTTATTCGTTTAAAATCTCTTTTCCTTGATTATATGTTTAACTTCCTCTAAGCATTAGTTGTAGTCCTTAATTGATTTTCATTTCTAGATGGACCCATCCCTTTGGCGAAGTATGTCATTCGTTCAGGTTCGAGTGTCGGCGGCGCAGTTGGCGGGTATAGCAAGACGACAACCGCTCAGTCTGGGACTCGAGTGGTGCCATCTAGCGAGACGACAACTAGCCTGGTACGTGTCAAATAACACCACACAATTTAAAGTTTTACTTACTCTACTTCTGTTCATAAGTTATGTACAACTACAAAATATATATGGTAAACGATCAAAAGAAGCATTGATAAACTGATTGGGATTATCGTTTATATATATATATATATATATATATCTTCTTGAAATTCAGGTTGTTGGCTCGACTACCAGCATTACGGTCGCTATCCCTGGCTGGTTCCCCGGCAGAGGCGGCCTTAGCTCTTCGCTCCAGTACATGTCCGCCTTTGACAGCCCTGGATTTATCGTTCGCCAGATGTTTAGATGACGCTAAATTACGAGGGATTTTAGCACCTCCTGAGAACTCTAGGCCGGGAGGCGGAGCCAGGTCGGGGACTGAGCCTTCAAGGTTGGCAGCACTGGCCGTTCTACGTCTACCAGGAACTGATATCACCGACGTTGCCATGCTGTACATTGTACAGGTAAAAAAATAATGATGATTCATAATAAAATAATAAATATTTAGTATCATATATTGATCGAAACACTTATTCAGTTTCTGCATCCATTGCAAGATTTCAAAGAAGGATAAATGAGAAATAGTTAACAGTATAACATAAATATTTTTATTTATATGACGTAAATCGTAGCCTATCCACTTTAATTATTCTGGCTAATTGCGGTCATCTAATATAATTATTTATCTGTATTAAGGCACTTCCCAAGTTATGCGAGCTGGACGCTTCATCCTGTGCCCGTCTGACAGACGCCGGCGCGGCTCAGCTCGCGTTACACGGTTTGCAGCGACTGTCGCTAGCTGGCTGCAGGTTGCTCACTGAGGCCGCATTGGATCATCTCGCAAGATGCCCCAACCTAGTTAGGTGAGCAAGAAAATAAACATGATTTATCGGTCAATACATCATCAGTAATGTAAAAAAAAAAACCCGCTGGTTGTTAAATATACATCCAGTAGACCCTCACAGCTGCTACATATTATGTCTAATTGTAATTGTAATCAAAGTAATATTTTTTTATATTTACAGGCTGGACCTCCGACACGTGCCACTGGTGTCGACACAGGCTGTCATCAGGTTCGCAGCCAAAGCTAAACACAACCTTCATGTTAAGGATGTTAAGTTGGTGGAATTGAGAACCTGATCCGAGGACCAGCCCCAAGGGGCTGGGACAGATGATGTCGATAATGTGGACAATATAGACAATGTGGACAATTTGGTCAGTGTTGATAATGTGGAAAACTTGGACAATTTGGATAGTGTGGACCTTGTGGATAATTTGGATGATATGGATGACTTAGATGATTTGGATGATATTGATGATATTGATGATATTGATGATGTTAATGATGTGAATGATGTAGATGAGGCGGATGATGTGCGAGATGTGGATGATGCGGAAGATGCGGGTGATGTGGATGATACGGATGATGTGGATGATACGGATGATGTGGATGATGCGGATGAATCAGATGACGCGAATGACGCGGATGAATCAAGTAACTCAAAGTGAAGCGAAAGTGATTGTGTTGGTTGCAAATGAGCTTATAGTGGTATCGTGATATTGATTAACCCAACTGCAGACTTTGTTTTGTATGATGTCTTATTAATACTCAATAGATGCTTAAGACATAAATTAATTAGAATCAGATATCAAAGTCTTATGTACACAAGCAGCTGATTATGTACAGAATTCAAAAAGTTTGACTAAATATCGAAATAAAAAGTGTGAGATATTATTATTAAGACATTTTGCATAACATATCAAAGTTTCTAAGTTATGAAATTCTAAATTCAAAGAGTGCAAAGACTTCAGTTAATGTAGAATATGTTGAAGTTGAGAAGTTATAAATATAAGATAGTTAATTATAAATAGGTCCCATATTATTATAAATAGACTCCAATGTGGATTATCTTTATTCATATTTTGGTATTTTCAAGTATCATTTGCAATTTATACCGCACCATTTGTACGACACCAAATAATAGATTAAACATACAATAATTGTATACATTTCAAATAACTATACATTGATTTTAAATAGCTGTTATAATGATGATTTCATTGTGTATTAAACATTTTCAATCTTACATTTATGAACATTAATTGTACTGTTGGTTAAAGTGAGTGCCAATTCTGTGGTTATTTTATATGAGCACATATTACACAGCACAATGTAAATGACTTATTGAAGGTTAAAAAATTATAATTTTATTGCATGCTGTTGCATTGGTATATATTTTATTGTTATTTTTTTGAATATATGAGTATTTCTTTATGTTCCATTCATGCAGACAGCTATTTCGTATTATATAATTTCTGTGGATATTTTTTCTTATTATTTGTAAATATTGATGTTCATATTGTCGTTGTATACCTAACTTGCTGGTCTACACACAATTTATGCATCTAATAAATGTAATAGTTAAGTTAAATTAGTATTTTGTCATAAGAATATTTTTATTAAGGATTATTCAATATTATACCACATATTACCTACTGACTTAATAATATATTGTAAATATTAACATATTTATTGCACTGCAACAAAATGCACATTTTTATTTTAGTTTCATGACAATTGAAAATTGCTTGTATTCTATTTAGTTCTAGTCGCTTATTATTTTTTAGGCATAATTAATTACTGTAGTGGGGGTGACCAAAAAAAAAGAATGCAAATTTCTTTCATTATGATTGAGGCTAATTTTGAAAAATTATTTCTGAATTCATATTAATTATCTATATATACATTTAAAATAATTCAACTTGTAAATAATGAATCGACGTGTATCACAAATTATACAATCAACATTGGTTTTAATAGGGAGTAACAAAGGTTTTGTCAGATTTGATATGTACAATATATAGTAGTAAGTGAAGACCAGTGGTCGCAGTATGTAAGGTCGGAGGGCCGCCTATAGTATTAGAATAGTGAAATATAATCTTATCTATTCACCATAACCATACGACATTCAGAAAACTATACTTGACAAAATTTAAACATATAAAATATCATAATGGTATATTTTCTATGAAATTTTGCCACGTGTATGTTTTTGTTCTAAAATGTATTTAGATTTAAGTATTGTGTGCCTCCGTGTATAAACAGATAATTATATGAAGGATGGTAAACATCTAAGTGATGAATGTTTTATTGAACTTATGTAACATAGATATTATATAGTATGTAAGGATCGCCTTCGGGATAAGAGACTTGTTTTGTATGGAGCGGCAACACGTACACATGTATGTGATATTATGGCTAGGAGCTGACGATGTTATGGGAATTGAATGGTTTGAGGCGTAACATTGTATCATTGGTTACCATAAGCACTTATAGTATTTGAAATAAATATTTACATTGATTATTGACTTTTTTTACCTTTCGATCGAGAGAATGGTATTTACTTGTATTTTTAATTCTCTAATAGTTGCATGTATTTGTCTGAGCGTTCTGGGTGAGGGGGAGGGGTGTTCTGTGGTTTTTACTACTAACGTTTTATTTCTTCTACAGGACTTGATATGTATGTATGTATGGAGCGTTAATTTTATTAACATAGGTGACGTTGCAGATTGTAATTTTAGAAACTGTTGGCTCTAGTTCTTGTTGACATTACGTTATTTAATAATCTACGCAGCATTTTTAGTGTGTAAAAATATGTTATTATTGTTTTATTTTTAACTTTTTTTTAAATGTCCACAATTAAAGTGACCACACTTCTGACCCGGGTGTTGGGCTAATCTAATTAAGTTCTTAGAAATAGCAGTTTTCAATTTATATAAAGCCATATGCTTAAGGTCAGTTTTACCTTACTTTTATAGAAAAAATATTTGAATGAAGTTATTCAAGTCAAACTTCTAATGTGACTTCCAAAAAGTTTTGCGTTAAAGGTTTAACGTGCCGTGGGGTGGGTGGGGGGGGTATCATATAAATATAATGCTAGGGAATGCGTGGCGCTCTTGTGATTTGTAAGTGATGTTAATAAAGTTTCTCTTAAAGAAAAACTAAAAATTTATCATCAATTTATACATCTTCCTGTTTTCATTACAACATTACGAAGTTTCACTTCTTCCGCGCGTAAAGACAACCCAATTTATATTTTTTTAAACAGCTATTTTAAAAGAAACTTCTGTAATGATTTAAGAAATCAGAATCTTAACTGAGGGGGTTGAAAGCATTTATAGCATTCATAGCACAAATTTTGCATCACAAGTTTCACAACACTACATTAGAATACCTACTTTACTTTTTCTAATTTAAAAATATAGTTTTCGAAGCTTTTGCTCTTCAAATGTAGTGTGACGATTCAAAATTGGGGTAATCAAACCGAATAACAATGGTTACGCAAATATTTAAAAAGAGCAATGAGTTTATAAAGAGAACAATTTAAAGTCATTTTATTTAAGGGTGTTGAATTATTTCAGAATTGTTTCTCAATGTTCGGCGTAACTTTGAGCAATGTGTTACGAAATAGCTGAAGCCAGTATTTAGGTATAGCTTTTCAAATACAGGTTGACGATTAAATGTTACCATTACGAAATTACAATGGTTCAGTATTATAATTAATTATAATAAGTCTTAAAAATTATTGTAAGGATTATATTATAATAACTACAGGACGGAGATCGCCCCTTGTTTCGATACTTATCAACATCGAAAGCGTTGGCTGTTTCAAGTAAGGCACCGTATTTCCAAATGACCTTTAATCTTTATAAACTTCTAAAATAGTATTCCAAAGTAATTCACTGCCCTCGAATATTTCTAATAACTACAATAGTTATTATTTATATATTCAATAATTATTATATTTTTGCTGTGGCTTTGTCCGCACAGTTATTATTGTAAGAAAGATCTATTTGTTCCTCAATATAGACAACCTAACTGATTGACGTACTGATATTAAAATATGTTGAGCAACATTTGCAACGCGAACTCGAACCACATCACAAATCTTTATATATATAATTATTGTGTGAGTATGTATGTCACCGAACTTCTCTCAAACGACTGGACAGATTTTGATGAATTTTTTTGTGTGTGTTCAAGGGGATCTGGGAATGGTTTAGATTCACAATTTTGTCCGCTGGACAATGTTTTTTTTAATTTATTAGTAGTTCTTTTTTTACAAACGTTTTTTTTTTTACATTAGATAACTAAGTAATGAAACGGGGCTCTCTGATTAGTCGGTAAACTGTACTTATAATTTTTTCGCCATTTTATTAGTAGATATTAAATTTTAGCCTTCGCTGACGATCTCGCAATACTGACACGTAACCCCAAACACTGTCAGGTACTATTGGATGAAGTGGATAAATTCTGTGAGTGGACGGATGGATTGAGGACAAAACCCTGTAAATGTCACTGTCTGTGTCTTGGTAGGCGGAATACAAGATACACCTCATACGATCCGGGACTATCGTTAGGCGGTCAATGCGTTTCTACGGTTACGGAAAATGCACCTTTTAAATTTCTCTGTCGCAAGATTGATAATATAGGCCGTACTCCATCTTTAGAAGGAATAGTAGATAGCTTTTTGAACGATCTTAACAAGGTAGATAGCTAACTGATCAGTAACGTCAAAAAAGCGTGGATCTACGATAATTACTTAACTTCACGTTTGAATTGGCCTTTCCTCGTCTATGATTTTAATAAAACCCTTTTGTCAAAGTTAGATGCAGGCGTCATAAAGATGTTGAAGTTGTGGCTCGGGCTCGCGCTAACGGCTGATTCATCGGCGTTATTTAGGGGAAGCAATAGTTTTGGGATGAGTTTAAAAAGGCCATCGGAGCTCTATAAACACCTAAGAGTTTCCAAGAGATATATCCTGGGGAAATCCCATGATGACGTAGTGACATCGCTCCCAAAAGATGAAGATGCCCCCGAGCTAGAGTCACGACTTCAATTCCATAAGCAATTTATGATAGGAGCACAAAGTAACAGAGTGGCGTTAGGATCAAATAGGAAAGTCCAAGTTGCGGATATATTGAAGTCTTTTATTCGGCAAGACGAGAATGATAAATATAAGATCCATGCAAAGAATTCAGAAATGCAGAACGAGTGGTTAGACATAGGAGATTTTTGCATCCCATTAGCATTAAAATGGCGCACTTTAATTTATGATTGGTCGCACGCATTGCTAAAATTCTATCTCAATGCGTTCCAGATGACTCCCAGACCAGAGTAATTTTGTAAGATGGGGTAAAAGTACCGAAAGAACTTGGTATATCTGTGGAAAGGCAGTTGGAACTGCTAAGCATCTGCTGGTGGGATGTAAGGTACTCCTGGACAGCGGTCAATACTGTCAGCGTCGTCACGATAGGGTTCTAGAAGTCGTATAATACGTGAAGCGGTTAGTCTTTCGGTAGCCAGAGCGCAAAAGGAAATAACCACAAACGAACGATCTATCTTTTGTTTCACGCGTCAGGCGTATTAATCCGTATCTCATACAAGATGTATTAGCAGTCCTCGTGCACTCGCCCAAGCGCAAGAAATTATTTTAGTGAAGCGCTCA